GAACACATTAATGGTAACGGGGCCCATTCAACAAGGCGAGCAAAGTGTAATCTTCAAGGAATCTAATTTTCTTCTCTTTTAAAATCTAATATACATAAGAGTTTGTTCGCCAATAAATACGAGTTTAAATACTCCGCCAAACATGTCATTCTAAAAATGCTGAGTTACCTTAGTCCTGATGATTTTGCTAATGACTCATACAGATGTTGAATCATGTGTTAATGAAGTTGCCCCTGCCCCGACTAAACTTGAAACGCCAGAATTTTGGAGCATCGAATTCTCAAGAATATTTCATGAGAAGTCCCAGGCGCCAATATGAATAATTTATTGTCGTGATATTTCACTCAGAAAGACCTCAATTGACTAACTCATCATCAATCAATCAAAATCCTTCATTCAAAAAAGACACGAAGGAAAATGATGGATATAAAAATATACTACTTTTAGTCATAAATATTGCACTACAAACTAACCTTTATATTTAAAAAAAAAAATAGTATTGTGTATGTTGATTTGATTTATAGATATCTCGTACTAAAACCCATTAATGAGCACAGTGACGAACACTATATTATGGCGTCCCCTATGACTATTTGTGTCTTGTGGCGGAGGCCTATTTGGGCTAGCCTCACCGTAAAGGATAAAATCCAAACTTTTCAATCTTTACAACCTTTTGACAGAATTCGGTAACAGGAGACAAGTTCTAATGCTTTGAATATTGCAGAGACATCAAGCTCATAACGTTATATATCATTCATTCATATTACAGTTGAGACATTATTTTTATTCTTAAAAAAATCTAGAGAGTGAAATTTCTCAACTAGATTTCAAATGCTTTTAGCATTAAGAGATTTGAATAGTACATTGTTAAAATCTGAAGTTTGACTCAATGCAGAGTTTTTAAAATCAGGAAACAAGTAAGAGTCCGCATAAGTAAGAGCAGAAGGCACGCGATCCTCTTCATCATCTTAATGCCAAGCTAATCAAGCTTTGTCAAGTTAATGTACAGGTCCAAGAAATGCGCATTTATAGATTGAGCACCAAAAAAATAGTTTTATGGTAAATAGAAACAGTAATTTATTCTACTGCACATGTGGCTGACAGGTCCTATGGAAGTTCGAGGGAAGAAAAAAAAAAAATTATTTTATCTATACTATGGATTATTTATGTTTGCCTTTTCAAAAGAAATTAATTTTGAAAATTTTAAAAATTTACATGCGCTTTTGGCTAACAATTTATTGTTATTGAAAAAAAAATTATTTGAACAGAGAGTTCTAGAAATTTCTCGAACTGGGAGGTTTAGCATTCCGTGAAGAGGTATTAAAATTAACTCCTCTAATTTTTTTTTTTAAAGACAGAAAAAAATAACGTATTTTGAACGCGGTTGATGACGGCGAGGCCGTGGAAGCAGGGGATGATAGGATTCGCGAATCTTGATCCTGCGGGGCCCGAAAGAGGGGGAAGCCGGGAAGGTCTCATCTTGGTAAGCCTTTGACCAAGTCAAGAAATTTCACAGCAATTGTTGATCTAAACCCAGTTCCCATTTACCGTAAGCATCGAGCTTTATAGCTTAATGGCACCAAGTGCCTTTAAGCCTTTTTTGAAGGGAGTTGTGAGGGTAAACATTTATTAATATAGGCAGGCCGTGATTTTAAATAATGAAAATAAACGGATGGCAATTGCAACAAGGACAGTGACAAGTGTCCTTTATTTCCATTTATTAGGATTGGATTTATATGGGCCAGTTGTCACTCGTCCTTCTTTTTTTATACATTTTAATTAAGGCGGAAGAATTTTATAAAGATATTAAGCGAACCAAGACAAGAGATTCGAGAAGACGTCGCTGCCAAGTTTTGTTATATAAAAAAGTGCAGGAGATACAACACTGACGCTGAAAGTTTTCCAAGGGATTCAACTAATGGCTTGACATGAATTATGCATAGACTATATAAAGCATCAGCATGTGTGAACAGTTGAAAGATTTTAGAAGAATCAAACATTGATCAGACTTTGAATTAAGGGTGTGTTTGGCAAGCACCCTAAACCATGGTTTTGAGACCCAAACCATGGTTTGGGAAAAATATGAGCCAAACACTCTTAAAAAAATCAAAACCATGGTTTGGGTTCAAAACCATGGTTTTGAGAAAAGCAGAAATTTTTTACTTTTGAAGAAAAAAGGAGAGAGTGTGAGAGCCTATAGGATATGTATCTTATTGTTTTTTTATAAACATATTTTTTATAAATATATTTAATCTTATATCTTATAAATATATATACATATTAATTATTTATTAATTATATTATCTTATATATTATTAATATATGTTAATAAAAAATATATTATTAACAACTTTATTCCTTCAAATTAAAATATATCATAAAATATATTTTTTTCTATAATTATCATATTAATTTATGCTAATTTGTATATATAAAAAGTGCTTCTAATAACAACTATCCAAACGCTCACACTTCTCAAAATCACTTTTTCACAAAATCTATTCTTCCCAAAATCTATTTTTTTAAGAATCTATTCTCCAAAAGCTATTCTCCAAACCATAGTTTGGTTTCATCTAAACACATCCTAAGAACATCGAGACACTGAGTCAAACTTCATTAATGAATGACGAACAACACAAGTTGGCGACTTGTTATCAGAATTAAAGATCCTAATATTATTGTCGTACCAACTTGTAGCTAGTTTACCCATGCTTGATGATATGTTGTTGATAAATCCAGACTTTTTAATCTTTACAAACCTTTGACAGAATTCGGTAACAGTAGACAAGTTCTTAAACTTTGGATATTACGGAGACATCACGCCCATAAAGTTATAATTCATTCATATTACAGTTGAGGCATTTTTTTCCTTAAAAAAAAAAAATCTAGAGTACAATTTCTCAACCAGATTGCGAATGCTTTTAGCATTAAAAGATTTGAATAGTACATTCTTAAAATCTAAACTTTGGCTCAATTGTAAAGTTTGCATAAAATTTTATGAGAGTAAAAAATGTATCACATTTATATAATATTATAAAAATTGAGAACTTACAGGAGCTATAGCCTTTCAGCCCACCTTCTACCACTTTTTTCCTATTATATCCTTATTTATGTATAATTTAAATATAATGCTTAATTAGAGACTGTTTCGTTGATTATAAAAACGAATTGAGGATAAATTTGAGAATGAAAAAAATCTCACATTTAGAGTGTGTTGGGGATACACCGACAAGGAAATGGAAGGGAAGAAAAATTTTAAGAAAAAATTCTTTAAAAAAACACTTAAATAATTTAAATTTTTATTTGGGTTACTAAATTTGTCAAAGATCTGATCAAGTCACATGACTTAAGGAGGAATTTTGAAAGTTTATAAACTCTAATGCCCCTTTTATTATAAGCCTAGAAAGATGAGAATTTTTTATTATTATTATTGTATTGTGTAAGAACTCTAAATGAGGAAAATTTGATATTTATCATTACAAAGTGGAAAATCAACCAAAGAAGTAACGATGAGTTAGTTTTTATATTAAATCTTCATTCTTCAATCCTAATAGTCTCATCATAAAAGAAAGTTGTTAATTTTAAGCTAAAACATGTTAACTGCAAAATGGAATTTGTTCATTTTCAAAGTTGTATTATAATAAAATTTTATTTAGAGACTTATTATAAACGTGTGATGGAGATAAAACGTTATTAATTTAGAATTGAAATGTGTTTAACTGTGAAAGAAATGAAACATGTTAATTTTTTCGATTATATCACGTGATAAGTTTTTTATTCAAAAACTTACTGTAATTGTGTTATGGGGATAAAAAGTTGTGAAACATATTAATTATGAAATAGAACATGTTAACTTTTAAGGCTGTATTATAATTAAATTTTATTCAGAGGTTTATTGGTTATATATGGATACAAAAGGTTGTTAATTTAGAATTAAAATATGTTAACTACGAAATGAAACATGCTGATCTATTTTTTTTTTTTTAATTTTTAATAAGAAAGGGTCTTAAAATAATTTCATAAAATTTTAAAATTCTTCTTTGGGTCATATAACCTAATTAGAAGTTTAATAAATTTAATGACCCCAATCCTTTCAAGGGATTTTTTTTCAAAATTTAATGAGTTTGATTTAAAAAAAAAATAAAAAGTAAAGTTAATAGCTTCTAATTAAAAAAAGATGACTGTTGTTACTTGGTCGGGCTTATCCATGCCCCCTGTCCACCTTACAGGCCAAACAAATAAAGCAAGTTGCAATTTGGTTTTGCATGCATCACATATATGAAAGGGAAATATAATATTAAGGAAATGACTTATCACTATACTTCAAATAAATAACTCTAGACATTTCGAAAAATAAAGTCAACAAAATAACGGAAGAACTCATTTGAGTTTTTGTGTTTGTTTCCTGTGAACTTGTGATTATTAATACTCATATAAATATATATATATATCTTTACATTAAATTCAATAACAAGGCATATTAATTATAAATTTGAACTTGACTAGATTGAATTTGAAAAGTTCAAATCTTAACAGATCACCATTATGAGCATATCAAACCTAGACTCTACATAGTACAAGCGGCTGTGGTGTAGGAGGAAATAGGAAATCAAAAGGTCATATTTACATACAGGAGACAAGAGTACATTTGATTCAAGCTCCTCAGTTTCCTGTTTCCACTATAGAGCTTAAAAAAGAGAGAATTATTATGAGATCCTAAAAAAAATTACTAAAAAATTCTAATAATAAATAAGCAAATAGCAATAGAAATATACTGTTATTTTTTACACTGAAACTTGTTATTACAAATTATTAGTAGTTATGAGATTTTTTAATAATTTTTTTTGTTGAAATCTCATAACAATTCTATTTTTAGACAAACCTTGGCCAATCAGGTTTCAATACCGCTTTAGTTACTCGTTATAATATTTTTTGTGTGGTCAACATCATAATATATTCTAGCTTGACAATTAAAATTGATACTTAAGTACGTTGAAATATTTACAGATCATAATAAATCCATATTTAGGATGGAAAAGGTAGTGTCGTGTATGTTGATTTGATTTATACACGTCTCGTACTAAAACTTACTAATGTACACGCTAACAAACACTATATTATGTACGGCGTCCCCTATGATTATTTACGTGTCTTGTGGCAGAGGCCTATTTGGGCTAGCCTCACTATAAAATGAGAAACTTGATTCTGATTCAGATTGACTAGACGGACTTGGGGGGCAGTCTGTAGGTGGAGATGCCTCAACCTCAGGTATATCATGTGTGCTATAATTTTCACTCCTACTCTGCATTTCTTTTTTTCTGAAGGTGTGAGAACTCAGGTCCCTCTGATCAAACTTCTTTATCAACTTCCCAATTCGTCTCCACTTTGAGGTACTGGGATCATTACATAACCAGATTTGCTTCTGCTGATGTAGGAAGTTAACGGCGAAGAAAATTAGAGCCACAGCAGAAGAAACCCCTACAATAAGAAATAGTCCCCAGAAGCTTTCGAGTCCAAGACTGTTTGATGAAATTGGGGTATCAGAATCTGGACAGTTGTTTTTTCTGAACCACGCATTCTCTATGACCTTCATTTTATCTCCTTGTGTTACGTTCAGGACTGCCCTTGAAATGTCAGCCACGAGAGGAGAACCTTTAGGCAACACCTGTAATTTGTATCAATTAGTTGAGGAAGAAAGTAGAACTATAATAGAGATACAAAACATGACTTACAAATCCAAAGCCGCCAGTCTTAAAAGTTGGCTCGACCATGGCATACTTAGAACAGTAACTTTGAAGAAAGACTTTCACCACGTATGGAACTTCATCAAATGCCGCTGCAATGCCACCATTTGCACTTCCTCTTGCAAAGAGTTCGTTGCATTCCTCTGTGGATTTATAGGTTTGAAGTTGGTAATCGAGGAAACCCATTTCCTTCAAGATTTCCCGCATAAACGAGCCTTTCTTGTAACCAACATTCATTCTCTTCTTTATGAGTAAATTAACGTCAGTTACAGTTGGGTTGAGCTGCTCAACCGTCAAAAGTGCCGTCAGACTAGCAGTGTAGCTTTGAACCAGAATTAGAACCACAAAAACCCATATAATCACCACAAATCTGCTCAAGTTGCTCACCACTTTTTCTCCTGTAACACCGTTCGATTTGTCATGTCTTATTTCTAGCATAATCAAAATCATTTATTAGAAGTAGGAAGAAGCTTAGAACTTACGATGGGCAAAAACCATGGTCGAGAATGAAAACCACAAGCATGTTCCAATCTGGTGCAATGGGGGCCCTCTGAAATGCCCGTTTATTCGGTGTTCAAGCACCCACACAACAAACCCAACGAATACAAAAGAACAAGCTATTGTTACCCAGAGATCCCAAGTCAGTGGCTTTAAGAAGGCCCATGCATTCTTCTTCCTTTTGTCTTTTACTGGAACCACCATTGTGACACCAGATTCAGTGTACGGCAAAGTGAAATCCACATACTCTGACCTGTTAGCTATAATTGTTACATCCCCAACCACGGCATCAAATTTCTGTAAATGGGAAATAACTTTTTACTGTGATAAATTTGAAGTGAATTTCAAGGAAGATAAAATATAAAAGTGGAATTAATTACCCCAAAATAAACTTGGCTGATCAGCTCATTATATGATCCTGCACTCTCGCCATTGGGTTTGACAAAAGGGATAAATTCATAGGGTAAGGCATAAGGGAGAACTTCCAGCATTGCTTTGAACACATCAATGCAAAATCCGGTGACCTTTGTTGTATTAGTGATGGGGTCATGAGATACATCCACGAATTCAGGATAACCATTTTTCACCGGCACCCCTATCCTTAATTTCCTTGCATTTGTGGGGATTTGCCATCCCTTTGGAACAGAGTTCGTGTCCCCTGGCCATATAATCGAACCCAGATTCTCACTTGATGTAGAATATATTTTGGTGTTAGTTGAGTCTAGATTTCTGACTATTCCGTTTTGTGGTGTCCAAAACCCAATCGTTCTTCCTCCAATCCCAATCACGTTCAATATCTCAAACATTGAAGCTTGCAGTTGCCTCTTAACAATGCTGAATTCTCCGCTGAGGCCTGTGAATGTAGTGTTTGATAAGGCTTCACGCAGCTGTTCACCACTTTTTGAAACTCCAATCCTTTCCAAATCAGTTGAACTGGACGAACCATTGCTCGCAGCAAACCCAAGATTGTTGGTGGCAACCTTCTCAATAGCCATAGCTAACGCTGTGGCAGCATCGTAAGCCCATACTCCAAAAACATTCAAATGAGTATCAACAAGGGTGGGATTGTCTTGTAGGAATCTTCTTTTCCATCGAAATTTGAAGTCATCCAACCGCTCTGTTTTGGGAATATAGGTCCTCACGCCCAGCACTCCTTCCATTGATTCTATGACTGAGGAATTCAAAGAGCTTAATCCATTAGCCAAACCATCTGTCACTATCCAAACGTATCCCTTGCTCATCATTCCAATCTGTCTTGCAATGTTGAAGAGTCTCACGCCCGGATTGGGGTTCATGTGCACAACAAACACTCTGGTTTGCATTGTCATCAACTTGTAGAGCTCTGCTCTGATATCTTCATCAGTGGCTGAAGCTGAAATAGAACTCTGATATAGGATTCGAACATACACTTGTTGAAGAGCATTAGTCAAGAAGGGTATGACCCCCTTCCCATACTCGTTGTCTACGTAAATTGGCACTGCTTCTTTCCACCCAAAAGCCTGTGCGATTGCACCAATGGCGCTCATCTGGGCTGAATCAGTCTGCGCAATTCGAAAAAAATATGCACTTGGGAGGGAAGCGAGAGAAGGACTTGTTGCTGAGAAAGTTATGATGGGAACACGAGCTTTGTCTCCAAGACTGATCAAAAAGCTGGCTTGCATTGACGTCAATGGGCCTATTATGGCCTGCACTTTCTCTGATTTTATGAGATCCAGACCTGTTTATCAAGAAAATCTGCCGCTCAGAAGCATGTTTAACCTCTTACTTCTTGCACAGTGATAAAGATTACATGTCTGAAGAGAAAATAATTACGCAACTATAGTTTTGGCTGATCAAATAAATTTCTACCACGCCTATTCCAAAATAAAAAAAAGTCTACCATTTCTCTGGTTTAAAACTTCCTCGTTTAACAGTCCGTGTTCAATTTCACCAATTCTTATCAATAAATATATGCGTGCTAGATTAATTTCGTGTGGTAATCTATCATGCGTGTAAATCAAACAATCATTGAATTAAAAGTCAAGACATTGAAGAAAATGCAGAGAGAGAGAGAGAGAGAGAGAGAGAGAGACCTTGAGAAGCTGCAGAAACAACGTCCGAGTGGGAGTCCCTGACGAAGAAGACGAGCCTGGTTTTATAATGAGGGTGAGAGGCGTAAAAGTCAGAGAGGGACATATTGATACAGCTCAACCCCATCTTTGCTGCTGGAGAAGAAAGATCAAGTACGATTCCTACTTTCACCGGCACGCTTCCGTTTGTCTGTGCCATGCCGCCCAGAGAACAGAATAAAGCCCACGTAAACAGGACGATCGGCTTCTGCATCATTTTGGAATATCAATCAAGCTAACGAGGCGAGCTTAATTTTGTTGACCATGGTGGAGTCAACCCCAGAATGATGCATATTTACTGGCGTCGCGGGGTTCGAAAAATTATTCAACTATATATTTTCCAAGTTTTTAAGATGCGGACGAAGAGCCTGTTATTTTCTCCTCATATTTGGATATTTTCTTTTTTGCCTTCTATATTTGGATTTTTTTTTTTGCCAACCCATATTTGGATATACTGCGTACTGTATTCCAAGTTAAAACATTTCATGATATAGCGTCACAAATAATAATATATCAATATATAATATAAAATTAATTTAATTACCGAGCCCCATATAATGTGAGAAATATTTATATTGTCTTTGCGGAAAAAGAAGAAAAATTTACCGCGACAAATCACAATAAGAATGCCACCGTGGATCGCAATGGTTCATTAACACTTGACCTAGTCAAAGTCCACTTAATTGTTATTGGCAAATAGAACCTTCATCATCATGCAGAAAAGTTTGAATATGCTAACGACCTTTTTTTTTATATTACGATTATAAGATTCTTGAATAATTCTGAATATGAATGACGAAGCTGTAAAATCAGAGAACGAAACTGATACAAGAAAATTCATCAATAAGGTTAATATATTATATATACATAAATATTCTTAAAATATAATTTTGGCTAAAATATATTTTTAGGCCTTTAACTTTATACAAAATTTTACTTTGGTCCCTTAACTTTAAAAAATAAATTTTTATTTCTCTAATTCTAAAACTGTTAACAAAAAATGATAATATTGAACTATTGAATGCTAATAAAGCATTTCTAAATACTAACATATTAAGTTTAATATTCAAAACAACTATAATTGTTATAAAAAATTATTATTTAAAACTAACAATTTTGAGATTAAAAGATTAAAAGTATACTTTTTAAAATTAAGAGATCAAACTGAAACCTTATATAAAATTAAATGACCAAATATATATTTTAACCTATTATTGTAAGTTTGCAGTATTTCAGAATTCTGAACGATACACTAAAAATAAATTAGATAAGGCCAAAATTAAACGGGTGTCTGCAATTCGCTCTGGCCTCCTCAGTGATGCAAAAATTATTTAATCAAGATCGTGGAGATAATGTGCTGTGAGCGAAATTCAAAAATTTTCTGAAACATCAATCAAATATTTACTTGAATTGTAGTTTTCTTTTGTATAAAAAATAATAATTGGTTTTTTTATTTCATGACAATTCCCTTACTATATGTAAATGAAAAGTTAAATGTGATCACTTTGTGGAGATAAATTATTAGCATATTCGTTTATTAAAAATAATAATTGGTTTTCTTTTGACTTTGTTGTTTCTCGAATACTTTCGCCGGGGAAAAGGGTACTCGGTTAAGGATCAGTACCCTTGTGGCGACGAAGACTTAATTTTAATCGCATAATGAGCACAGAGTTTCTTTTATTCGCTTACTGATATCTCTCTCACCGACAAATTAAAGTATAAATAATATATTCATCTAGCGTCTGGATGGACAGCCAACGGCCTTTTTTTACATTGAGTGTATTATTTTCACCTTCCTGCTTCAGTGTCATGTGAAATATAAAAAATGATTATTCAAGTCCAGTAAGCATCAAGCGCTCCGACAGTGTCCTCACCTCGCGCTGAGGACTCCAAAGTCAATGGCTTAATAAATACTCCCTTCGCTCTTTTTCATAGCAAACAAATAATCAAATTATATTGTTTAAATTTCAAAATGTTTGTTAAAATTAGCTGAAAACAATACAATTTTTTGGTTAAAAATACCTTCATTTGTGTAGTGATTAGTGAAGAGAGAATGTGTAGGAATTAAATACAATAACATAAATAATAAATAATGAGTCATTTTTTGATACACTAGAAATTATAAATAATATGAGTCATTAAACAATGTTAAAATAAAAAATCAACAGATAAAATTTGACTTCTAAATGTCCCCAAAAAAAAAAACACAAAAGCACAGAGAGAGTACTTAATTAACGCAAGATCGGCGGGAAAACTTCAAGTAATGATATTTAAAGTGGAGTCAATCTCAATGGCCAATATTTATAGTCGATGTGGGGCTTGGAAAATTATTCAGCTATACTTTCTCAACACATCTGTGCAAGGGGCCAACTATTATCCCCTCAACTTTTTTTTAAAAAATATATATATGGAAAACTATTTTCATAATTTAGTGCAATTCATATTCACATATATACAATAATAAAATTTAGTAGGCCCCCTATAAGGTAAGAAAATATTTGCAGTGACTGTGTCAATGCACCTGTGGGTTGTAATCGCTCCTAAACCTTTGACCAAGTCAAACTCCATTCAATTCAATTAATAGGTCGTGATCAGTATATTCTTGAAATTAATTTTGAATATCTGTCAGTAATTATGAAATTAAAGTTCAGAGAACGAAAATGTTAGAGAGAAGCCATGACTCATGAGCAGGGTTTATAACTGAAATATATAAATATAACACCGCGCCTCCTTGGTTAGGTCTAACCATCTCCACGTTGTTGGGTTGCAAAGAAAGCAGAGACTTTTAGATCACATCACTCTATTAAACGGTAAATTGACCATTTAATTTTATTTATGAATACTGTTAAAATAATTTCTTAAGTTTACCACTGGCCAAATCAAAGTCTTGCGGTGTTGGGTGACGATTGCAATGTATGAGAAATGTGATTAACAATGAAAGAAAGAGTAAATTAAAATTACAACAATTAATTAATTAAAAGCAGAGATCAGGAGATTAGACGAGAGGAGAGCGATGGCCGATGGGTGGTGATCAAAGCTTATCTGGCAGATCCTGTGTCATAACATGCGCTAAGGTTATTTCTATCTTGGGCTGGAGGGTTGTTTGGGCTAGCTTCATCGTAGAACGAGAAGCTCCTTTCTAATTCTGATGGGCTAGAAGATGGACTTGAGGGGTAGTTTGTACTTGGAGATGCCTCAAATTCACCCAGATCATGTGGTCTGTAGGATTCACTCTTATTTTGCAGTGTGAGAGCTCAAATCCCTTTGGTCAAATATCCATATTAACTTCTCAACTCGTCTCCACTTTGGAGTACTGGGATCATACTGTAACCAGATTTCTCTGTGTTGGTATAGGAAGTTAATGGCGAAGATAATAAGAGCTAGGGCAGAAGCAACCCCTGCAATGAGAAAGAGTCCCCAGAAGCTTTCAAGTCCAAGACTGTTTGATGAAATTGAGGCATTAGAATCTGGGCAGTTGTTCTTTTTGAACCACGCATTTTCTATGGCCTTCATTTGATCTCCCTGTGTCACATTCAGGATTGCCCTTGAAATGTCGCCAACAAGAGGGGAACCTTTAGGGAATGCCTGTAATTTATGTCAAAAAAATAAAACAAGATAAGGTAGAATTTTAATAAGGAGAACAAGATGTGAAATTCCCAACACAACACAACTTACAAAGCCAAAGCCCCCAGTTTTGAAAGTCGGATCAACCATGGTGTATTTGGAGCAGTAATTCCCAAGAAAGAGTTTCACATATGGAATTTCATCAAACAGTTCCTTTTTCAAACAGTTCATGGCAATCCTCTGTCGCATGGTAAGTTTTGAGCTGATAATCTAGAAAACCCATATCCTTTAGAAGTCCATATAAAAAAGAACCATCCAAGTAACCAACATTTAATCGGCTCTTTAAAAGTAGATTTTCATCTGTCATAGTGGGGCTGAGCTGCTCAACTGTTAAAAGCGTCGTCAAACTCGTGGTATAACTCTGAACCAGAATAAGAATCACAAAGACCCATACGATGACAACAAATCTGCTCAGGTTGCTCAAAACTCTCTCTCCTACAGTACCATTCAATCTATTAACGAGTTATTTACACCTTAATCGAAATCATTCAAGAAAAGTAAGAAGGGTAGGGCTTACGATGGGCAAAAACCATAGTTGAGAATGAAAACCATAAGCTGGTGCCAATCTGGTGCAGTGGAGGCCCTCTGAAATGTTCATTAATTCGGTGTTCAAGCACCCACACAACAAAGCCAACAAATACAAAGGAACATGCAATTGTCGCCCAGAGATCCCAAGTCAGTGGTTAAGAAGGCCCATGCATTCTTCTGTCTCTTGTCTTTCATCGGAACTACCATCGTTACACCAGATTCCGTGTACGGCAAAGTGAAATCCATATAGTTAGACCTGTTTGCTGTGATTGTTATATCCCCCACCACGGCATCAAAGTTCTGTATAAAAGATTAACGACTTTTGTCATGATTTATTTGAAGTAAATTTGATGAAGGGAACTATATCAAAGTGGAATTGATTACCCCAAAATAAACTTGGCTGATCAGCTCATTATATGATCCTGCACTCTGGCGATTGGGTTTAGCAAAAGGGATAAATTCATAAGGTAAGGCATAAGGGAGCACTTCCAGCACTGCCACGAACACATCGATGCTAAATCCAGTGACCTGTGTTCTATTAGTAATGGGGTCATGAGATACATCCACGAATTCAGGATAACCATTTTTCACCGGCACCCCTATCCTCAGCTTCCTCTCAGTTGTGGGGATTTCCCATCCCTTTGGGACAGAGTTCGTGTCCCCTGGCCATATAGTCGAACCTAATTGATTCCTTGACGTAGAATACGTGTTGGTGTTAGTTGAGTCCAGATTTCTGACTATTCCGTTTTGTGATGTCCAAAATCCTATCCTTTTCCCTCCATTTCCAATCACATTCAATATCTCAAACGTCGAAGCTTGCAGTTGCCTCTTAACAATGCTGAATTCTCCACTGAGGCCTGTGAATGTAGTGTCTGATAAGGCTTCACGCAGCTTTTCACCACTTTTTGAAACTCCAATCCTTTCCAAATCAGTTGAATTGGACGAACCATTGCTCGCATCAAACCCAAGATTGTTGGTGTCAACCTTCTCAATAGCCATAGCTAACGC